TTTTTTTTTTTTTTTTAATTGAAGTACTAATTGAAAACTTTTTTCTCTCTTTCAAATTGGTTATAAATTTAGTAGAAATTATATTATACCGAATCAATTAAAATGAACTATGGAGTGTTTATATAAATTTTTCAGAAAACATTTTAGAAGAAAAATTTAATTAAGTCTTTTTCATAAACTTAAACTAGTTTATAAATAAATTAAAATAAGTTTTTTAAAAAAATATATAGACGAAAATTTCTACAGATTAATTTATGTGTAATGTATAAAAAAATTATTTCATTTTTTTCTTATTTTTCTCTCATATTTCCGAGAAGTTTATTCAATCATCCTTTAGTCACCAAAATGGACTGTTAATATCTTTTGAACCGATAGACTCGGATTAGTTGAACTTTTCCTACAGCAGGGTGTTATTGTTATAAAGAGTTGCTTATTTTCTTTTGAACAAATGCATCTTGCAAATCATAATCTATTCACTAGTTTCCTTTACACTATGCATGTATAGTACAACACAAGAAAGTGAGACACAAGAAAAGAAGAAGAAGAAGAAAAACTTCATGTGCACTATGCAGTTGTTTCTAGCTTGTGCCTTGCAGTAGCTCTTATATAACAGAAAACTGCCACCAAGAATGTGGTGGCAAGCCCTCCAAGAATGACTCCTGCCCCTGCTATGGACTTGTCAAATGAGTGATGCTGGTGGTTGTACTGCTTTGGCAAATGAACCTGACCTTGATGAGAACCCAAAACTGCTTCATCATCATGTGGTTCAATAGAAGTTCTCTGATGACTGGGAATGTTCCCTTCAGAACTAGGATGCATCTTATTTTCACATGGTGGTGCTTCAGATGGAGTAGGACTTGTGTCAGAGGACCTGATTTGCTTAAATTGGTGCTTACCAAGTTTCCTTCCAATGGAGGGTTCTGCTGTGTGTGGACTCTGAGCAGGAGGGTTTGAAGATGGTGCTGAAATAGATTGGAAAATAATTTGAGGTTGGTTTGTAGCCATGGTTAGATCCATAAGGGTACATGCTAAAAGAAAGCACAAGAAAAGAAACTTGGCCATTGTTTAGGATTTCAAAATGTGGTTGAAGCTGTGTTGAGGAAGATGGTTTTGGGGTTGGTTATATAGCTTGTGTATTATATATATATATGATGAGATCCTACAATCGTGTGGTTTGGCTGAAATTTCCTACTGTTGGATTCTGACAAATAATTTATTTTCAATTTTTTTATATTTATTTTCTGTGGAGTTGTCTAATTGAGTTGAGAAATTAAGCTACATGTGGAGGCATTAGAATATGGGAAATACAACTAAGAAACAACCCAAGGGAACAATATGTCACTCAGAGTTGTGATACAATTGGATTCCATAATATTATAGAAATAAGTAGCTCTACTCTCTACAAAATTTTGAAAGCAAAGGGAAGATGATTGGAAGTTGCTTAATTTGCAATCAAAGGGACTGATTTTTAAACCCTTTTGTTTACATGTCACGTGAAAGTGGATACACAGCATGGGAAATTCATTTCATGCAGACATCACAAAAATTCTTTTTTATTTATTTTCGAAAACTAAAAAAGATGGATTAGATCTGCTTTAGAAGTTAGCACTGCAAAATGTTACAGCTTTTGCCTGATTGCATTGTAAGAGGCTAGCTAGAAGCCACAACTGGTGCATGCTTTTCTTGATTTATATATTTGAGATATAATATTGAAAGTTAAACTATATATGTGTCCCCATTTTAGAGAATGTAAATTAAACGGTAGGCTTAGTTAGGAACATGCGTATCCTTGTGTGGATCGTTGTCATTGACATGCTATGTTTGCAGGAGAAGGAGAGGAAAGACAATAAAGCAGTGATTCAAGCAAACTATGTATGTCTAAATCCACATTCATACCATTGCTGAGAAAACCAGATATTGCTCTAATATTATTCTCCTGTTGAATTTAATTCTGCAATCAATAAATTATACCAAGAAAAGAACTGACCTACATAAAGAAGTAGCTGCATTGCCTTGTATCATGTAGAAAATTTTTTTTTGTCATAGAACTGCGAAAACCATTATAGACAACTCTTGTTCACTAACAAGCTTGGAACTTTTTATGTATCATCAGAGCTTCTTCATACGAGTTTCCTCAAACCAATCCAACGGTGCAACCACACAAAACAGAAGGGTCATCATCTTTAATATTGTGAAAAATTACAAATAAATTGTACCTGTCTAAAGGGCACACTAGTAATCTTCTTGTA